TCTACTTGCTTATAGTATAGTAGGTGGATAAGAAACATAGACAACTATAAACAGCACCATCCTCTCTTCCCCCTTTCCCCCCACAGGCCAGGCCTAGGCCAAAACTCCAAATTATGTTTGAACATTTTAGTATTCAAATGTTTCAAACATCTGTACATTGGCATAACTGTAGAGGGAAGACCAGGATTATTTTTTAGTTTTCTCCCAAGTAATTGGCAACCTAAAGATACTGCCTCTCTGTTGTCCATATTTTCCCATACATCTTTCACTATTATTTCTAAGAATGATACAGAATGCATACAGTCTGGTTCTCAGTAGTTTCGTTCTAATAAAGATGACAGTTTATTTTTCACTTAAAAACAAAGCACTTTTGTTCCTAGAATTACTGAAATTAGAAAAAGGAGATTAACAGGGCTTTGGTAACTCAAAATTATATCATTCAGTCTTCATAAAGCATTTTTAGTATGTTTTCTAGTATTGTGCAGAGGGGATGTTATTCAGGTATGCATTGGACTGGAAGATCTCTGAGGTTCCTTCCAACTCTAAGAGCCTAAAAAATTCAACCAAAAATATATAGTCATCCCCATACCCCTCCTGGAAGTGACTGTCATGGAAAGAGCCCTGGGTTGAGCGTCGGATGACTAGGGTTTGAGTTTTGGTTCTGCTACTTACAAGCTAGGAGATCCTAGGTAAATTGCTTCTGTTCTCAGGGCCTTTGTAAAATGAGACAGTGATAATAGATCTCCTAGGGCCTTTCCACCTCTAATAATTTATGAGCTCTCATGTGGGCTGTATGATGCTGCAATGATTATTGGTTATAGTCTTTTAGACTTCAGCAGGGCAGCATTTCATTGACCATTCTTATGCAGTCTTTCACCTTGTACAGAATTGAGCCCACTGCCCTGACTCTTCTTCCTCTCCCTCCCACCTAGGAGACTAGAGCAGAATTGGAAATTGCCTCAATGACATTGTTTTGAAATCCTGCTTGGAGATGAGGAAGGGGAGAGTATACCTCCTCTCAGACACAGGAAGTCTGAGATCTCTGGGCTCCCAAGCAAGGTGCTCATGGCCATTTTGCATCAGTTTGCAATTGTGATTTGACCCTGGCCAGCAGCAATCACTCTAAAACTTTAGCTTCAGCCTCAATGACCACAGAGCCCAGGGGGCAGGACTCTGCTTCCTTGAGACATCAAGCAGCAGGAAAGAGACAATCCCCACTCCCCCCCCCTTCAATATCCCCCAACTCACCAGCCAGGAACAATCAGATATTTTTTTCTGATACCTTTTGAGTCAGAAGGTTCTCACACTGTCTCCTACCCCATCTCTTATTACTCTGTGACACTCCTCTCCTCTTTATATTTCCATCCCCAAACTCTAGTTCAGATCTCCAACTAGGTAGACATAGAAGGCCACGCAGACCAAAGAAATGAAAATCAAAGAGGGGGAACTGACTTTGCCCAAGATCACACAGCTAGTAAGTAGTGGAGTCAGAATTCAAACTCAGGGGCTCTCCACATCTTTGAGCTACAGATCACGGAAAAAGGAGTGACTCCTCTCCCAGAGAGAGAGTGGTGGTCTTTACTGACACTTAAGGGTAGCCTGGGTTACAGGCAGTTGCAGCTCCTTCTCCCTGTGCTCGGAGCTCCCCTATTTCAATTAGTGCAAAACTGTAGGTTGGGCGGGGTAAAGAGAAAGACTTTCTTTGGGCTCAGATGTAACGTGGCGCAAGCTTTGAGAGGCAGCTACATCAGCGCTGCTAACTCGAAAGCCTCTGGGAAACCCGCAAAGCAGGGTGTCTTCCCAAACGTTAACTGTTAGGTTCTTATCTACTTCTCTCTCTTTTCCTCTCTCTTTCACCCAATACCTCCCGTAACTTCTAGTGTGTCTCCGCCTGTATCCGGGCTGTGACCATATAGGGCAGTATTTATTATTGCAATAATCCCCGCTCAGATTCTCTCCAGGAGACACCCAAAGTCAGCTAGCATCGAAGGCAAGAGAAGAAAGAGGTGGGGTCAGTTTCCTTCAGCTTGGCTGAGAAGCCTGTAGAGGGGACTCAGCAGAGGCGTTGGAGTAATGCTGAAATTCCCAGGGAGCTACCTGTACCTTTCCCCTTCTGCACTGGGCTGTGCAATGTGAGTTTGAAGGGAGGTGAAGCGGCTTGGTAGATGTGACAGTCACCTTCGGGAATGGACATGGAATTCGTTGTTGAGGATTAAGACCAGTGGCCACTGCTGCTGGGGCTACGAGACATGAAACAGGGCCTACGTGGCCTCTTGGGCAAGTGATCTTACCTTTCTGAGGCTCGGTTTCCCTAACTATACCACGGGAATAATAATAATACTTGCACTACTTACCTCACAGGGTTGTTATGAGGAAACTATACGAATGTGAGTTATTATTACTGTTATTTTTGTTTTGCCTCTCTTAGCTTCCATCTCCCAATTAAAATTCCTTCTGGCTACAAAAGGATTAATGGAGAAGGTGGTAGGGTGGGTGATTCCCAGTGGCCCATCTGGTATTCCTCTTTGTGATGCCATAATATCCAATATTATCCAAGCATATACTTTATGTAACTATGTTATTATGTAATTGTGCATTACAGAATATCACGGTATAATACTTGATATTATAATATTATTATTTGTCCAAACCTGTGATTTTCATTGGGAGCTTTCAGTGAATGAACTCCTGCCACTGGAGATATGGCAACTTTTCTACAACTTGCAGTATTAGAAAGTTGTCAGGGGGTCACTGAGAGGCTAAATGACTTGTCCAGGGAAGCACAGCTGTCACATGTCAAAGGCTAGACTTGAATCCATGATTCCCAGGTGAGCTCTCCACCTACTAAAGCACACTGTCTTTTTTTTTTATTGTGCTTATATAATAATGATGGTGGTGGTGGTGGTGGTAACATCTCACAGCTCTATAAGGACCCAGTGAGATGTCTAGTGAAGTGTGACTTTCTCTAATTTTTTTTTAGATTAAAAAACTGAGAATCATAGAGCTGAAATGACTTGACCTTGAGCCCCAATGTCAATTCCCACCTGAGACTGTGTGAGATTGGACTCCACCTAGGACCTGGAACTCCAAGAGCACCTTTACAGGAATAATAGCAAGACTAAGAGGGGAACTGCTGGATGGTGAAACTAACTGGGTCTGGGACATGCTGAAAAGACTCTCCCACATCAAGTAGATTTTCGAAGCTAAAGAGATCTGTTTTGGACTGGTCTATTTGGACCAGAGTCCCTGAGAGTTCTGTGAAGGGGTCCTTCCATTTAAGGGACCCAGTACAGCAGCTGCCAAGGTGGCATTTAGCTCAACTTCCTCTCAGCTGTTTCTGGTCTGTCCCTACCAGGGCTCCTTGATTCAGAGAGAAGCCCCAACCTAATCCCTCACCTCTTGGGCAAAACCACCAAGGCAATGTGGTTTAGTGAAAAGAGTCATTGTCTGGATAACTGTGTTCGATTTGCTCCTGTGTGGCCTCAGCAAGGCCCTTCTCTGTGCCTCAGTTTCCCTATTTATGAAATATGGGAGTTGTACTAGAATCTGGCCCATAGATGATCCCCAATTCCTTTCCACCTTTAAAATACGCTGACCCGAGGAGCAGACAGTCCAGATCATCGCCTACCAAACTGCACTCAGCCTCTTCCCTGCCTTTGACTCTACTCCTCCCCTTCACCCTGGGGTCCCCTCTCATTTTACTGAGTGAGGCACTAATTAAGTTTTCGTATGATGTTTAAACTGACCTGAATCCCTGGAATTACCGAAGACCTAGGTGTTGCTCTTTGCATTTACTACCCCTTTCCCCTCTAGGGAGTAGAGGAGTGCTGGCGAGGGAAGGGGACCCTGACACCTCTTGAATTGCAGTCATTCGGGACCTTTGATTGAAACCGTGACACCGGCAAATTAAAAAATAGAGAGGGAACATTTATACCCCCCAAAAAGGGGAAAAAACGCACGCAAGCATCCCAAATGTTTAATGTAATCACCGGCCAGCTGTGTGCACTTGTAAAGTTGTTATAATCCCCCTCCTTGTTATAAACAGGAAAGGACAGAATATAAAGCAACAGGCCTGCATTCACAAATACCAGCTTTCCCCCTGAAGCCTGCCAAATCCCCCTTTTATGGTGCTCCTCGCTTGCAACCTCAGCCTGGCCAGAGACCTCACTTTTGCTCCCCCACTCTTAATAGATGGGCTATCAAACCTCTCTCAGGCTCTTGATTCCTTGATCACCCCGGACCACCTCCACCCTTCCAGATCACCAGAGTCTAACGTTATCTAACTCATCTCCTTCTAAACTGGACACTGAGGCTTTGCCATTTCCTTCAAATCGGCTTCACCCCTAGGCTTCCCTCTATCTGGCTGCACCCCGAGTTAGTTATCTGGGATTAAATTTATTTACACTGAGACTCGACAAATGTGAGAAGCCTGGGAGTTATGCCGCACCCACATTTCAACACCATCACCCTTGTCAATTCCCCGGGCACCTCGAAAGCCAAGCACCATCCCCTTCCCACCTCTCAAAACTCGTGGAATTTTTCCTTCTCTCCACTTCCCGCCCTGCCGGGTTTCCTTAAAACATCTTCTAAAGTCCTTGAAAGCTTTTTATAAGGATCATTCATCTTCCCATAAAATTGGGAGAAAAAGGAGATTCTCTGTCCTTGGAGTGGGGGTGGTTGGGTGCCATGAGAGCTCTCTCCCAGCCTGCACTGGTTGTGGTCCGCTTCTCTCTTGATTAATCTTTTCGCCCCCACCTTCTCTCTCTTCGGCCTGCTCGGACCCCGCGCCGAGTCGTAGCAGTTAACATCCTGCTTTGCTGAGTTGTGTGTGCTTACAGCGTCAAGGGGTGGACGTGATATTTCAAACATCAGATCAGTGCGTTTATATATTGGGTGCCCGGAAATTTTTCCAAATAAACACAGCTTGATTCAACTTGGGTGGGCAGACTTATCAACAGACTAATTCTATAAACAAATGAAGAAATAGCCCAGAAAACGATTGGCTGGTATCAAAAAGACACGTGGAGAAAAGCTTGGAGTTTTTCAGCAATGAAATTTTAATTAATGTGGGTGGGCTGAGAACACAACGATTGTTTATCATAGACAATTTATTTTCCAGTGCTAAGTCAACATATAATAGCAAACTTACAACAATTATTTAACATTTTTAAAGGCATGAAGAAGGGACACAGCGAGAGCTGGCTGGGGAAAGAGGCAGAGCTGGAGGGAGCTAGAGCTGCAGGCTCGCGGCTGGCTCTCCCGGGCGTGGGGAACCTCTCCCTGGCTCGCCCTCGCCTTCTCCCTGCGGGACAGCCTGGAGCTCTCTTAGCCTCGCCATGACCCACCTCTACAACCATCACCTACCTCCTCTGGTCAGCCCCTCGGTGTTGTACGTGTACGGCCCCGAGCGGCCCGGGCTGCCCCTGGGCTTCTCTCCTCCCGCTACTCTGGTTGGAGCCAGTCGGGCCGAGCCCCCCCAGAAGCCTCCCTACAGCTACATCGCCCTTATCGCCATGGCCATCAAAGACGCCCCAGATCAGAGGGTCACGCTCAACGGCATCTACCAGTTCATCATGGACCGTTTTCCGTTCTATCACGACAACAAGCAGGGCTGGCAGAACAGCATCCGCCACAACTTGTCTCTCAATGACTGCTTCGTCAAGGTGCCCCGGGAGAAGGGCCGCCCCGGCAAAGGCAGCTACTGGACCCTGGACCCCCGCTGTCTGGACATGTTTGAGCACGGCAACTACAGACGGCGGAAGAGGAAGCCCAAGCCGGGCCCCGGGGTCCAGGAGGCCAAGAGAGGCAAAGGGGAGGCGGAGGAGGCCGGAGCCCAGGTGGGCCGCAGAGGCAGGCTGGAGGAAAGGGAAGACAGCACTGCAGCAACTGGGGGAGGAGGGGAAAGAGAAGGAGGAGGGGGAGGAAGGAATGGAGGAGGGGGGACTGAAGGAGGAGATGGAGGAGGAGGAGAAAGGAGTGAAGAAAGAGGAGAATGTGGAAGAAGTGAAGTAGGAGGAGGGGAAGGAAGAAGAGGAGGGAGAGGAGGGAGAGAAGGAGGTGAAGAGAGAAGAGAAGGAAGTAGTGAGGACTATGTGCCTAGCCCAAAAGGAGCTTCCCAGGGGCATGCTGCCTTGGCCCCCACTCACCCCTCCACCAGATGCTCTGCCCCCCTCTGCTGGCCCAGCCCTGGCCTCCTTTCCGTGGTCCCCAACGACGCCGCCCAGGACAGTATCCAGCGAGATGCTGCTATCTCAGGCCAGTCTAGCGGACAGCCAGATGAGAGCACAGCTACATTGGGCTCTCCTCCGACCCCTGGCCCGCGAGACACGGACCCGGAGGACCCTGCCCCTCCAAAAAACGACGACAAGCCCAAGAGTTTCAGCATAGACAGTATCCTGGCCCGGACACAGAGCCAGAAGCCAGCCAGAGGGGGAGAGCTGGCCGGGGCAGCCAAACATGCCGGGGAGTCGCTATCCGGGGGATGCTTCAGCTCTGCCCTCTTTGCTAGCTCTCCCGGTCTCTGCCCGACTTTCAGTAGCTCCCTGATGCTCGATTCTCAAGTTCAAGGGCGACTTTACCAGCTGGGGATCCCTCTTCTGTCATATTTCCCGCTCCAACTCTCTGACGCTGTATTTAATTTCCAGTAATAAGAACAGAGGCGGGTTTATTTTTTCTCTTTCTGTCTCCTCGAAGCCTGGAACCTGTCGCTTGCAAGGGACGCCAGCGACTGACCACCGAAGCGGGTGTAAAGCATATTATTTTAACTTTGCTTGTTTATTTGTTTGAAAGGCATTTGCCAACCTGTCCGTTCAGGGAAGTTTCAGCGACTCCTACGTGGAGATGTAACGGCTCAAGAAATTCTCCCATTCTGGGCTGGCTGGTTTATCTTTTGTAATCCGAATCCCTGTTCTCTGCACCCTTCCTCCCTTTACTGCTAAGATTTTGAATGTTTTTAAACCCAATTCCAAGAGGCTGATGTTTGCTGTTCTCCCCTCCGTCCCCACCCCGTCCCTCTGAAAGTTTTATTATAGGCTACCAAGAGACAGCACGCACACCCAAGACCATATAAGTCTATCTCAAAGCTACAGTTTAGGTCTCGAATAATCCCACTCCCTGGCCTCCCCTCCCCGCTACTCCCACCCCTTGCCCTTGCTTCCGGACCACTTAGGTATGAAACAGACTATAAAACAGAATGCAGTTGTAGCACAATATGGATCAGGGAGCCAAGACAACTTCAAGTTCAACTGTAGGTTCCCACTGGCCTAGGGGATTTAGGGCTGTTTATAGAACAGGTCAGCTGGGCTGACTTCGTGGGCCGCTTGGGTGGCGAGTGTATCAGGCTGAAGGTGCCACTCACTGAAACAGGTCCCACAGAAAACTCCGCTTGTTTGGAGCCGATTTACGACAGATGTTAAGGTGGAAGTTGTCATCTTACCATTTGGACAACAACCAAGATCAGTCACGACTTTTATAGGGCTGTTTCCTTTCTTTCCAGATATAGGGTTCAAGGAACATGTTTTATTTCTGCTATAAATAGTGGACTTTTTTTTTTTATAATCGTAACTGACCTTTGAAAACTTCTATATTAGCAACCTTCACTATAAATGTGCACTCCAGCCAATAAAATGTTTTGTCCATTTATACAAATGCATTATTGAATACCCATTTTGTTGTTTCTGCAACTAGAAGTAGTCATTTAATGCACTGTTATTTTTGTTTGGCTTTCAAAAACATTTCAAGGGACTCCTGAAGAAGGGGAGGGGAGAGAAGGTGCCTCATATCATGCCAGATTCACTTTTTTTAAAAAAAGATCTAGGAATTTTTTATATTGTTTCTGAATCTGGTAATAAAAAGGCTTACATTTTTGTTAAACAAGTTGACATATATACAGAGAGAATTAAAGAGAGACAGATGGAGAAACACAAAAAAGCAATACTGAGGAATGTGAGAGTGAGTGAGAAAAAGAAAGAGAGAGAGAGAGAGAGAGAGAGAGAGAGAGAGAGAGAGAGAGAGAGAGAGAGACAGAGAGACAGAGAGACAGAGACAGAGATAGAGACAGAGACAGAGACAGAGACAGCACTTTGTTATGTTTCAACAGCTTTGGGAATTTGTTTTCTGCAACTTCGCATTTCTCTTATTCCAAAGGGGAAACCTTTCAAAGTTCTTTGAAAAGATTGTTTCCTATCTTTTGTCCCAGTCACCCACTCCATACCTGACTCCAGCCTTTAGTTAACTACCTTTATAATAATAATAGCTAAACATTTATATGGTGATTTATGTTTGCAAGTTGCTTTAACAAGCATTGTTTCACTGTATACGGAGAGGCAGATAGTGTAAATATTATTATCTCCATTTTACAGATGAAGGAACTGAGACTTAGAGAGATGGAATGATGTCTCAGGGGGACACTCGTGGCAAAGCAGGGAGAGGAATCCAAGGCTTCTGACTCTAAGACCAGCAATTCCTTTTCCTTCTACCATTGATAGCTAAATACTTTGACCAAGTGATTGGAGGTCTTATTGAGTAAAGACCCCTGTTTGCAACAAAGATCTGATTCAGAAGTGCAAGTTTCCCAGGGCTCTGCACAGCCCAGGCTGCCTTTGAAATGTCTCAACTTCTTATATTGGATATATTTAGGTTTCACTGGAGTTCAGAGCTTGACTTCCTAAACCTTCAAATAACTTTTATCTGATGTGGGAAAGTACAGAAAGTCATAGAATTTTTGGAGGTAGGAATGACCTTCAGGAAGTTTGAAAGGAATTTCTAAAATAACTTCTTAAATGGCTACTAGGACATTATTAAAATAAATACAAAAGTTAAATGAAGTAGAGGTCTGATTCTGGCTATATTGAAAAGGACTTTTTTCAGGGAAACATCTTTATTGGATAATTAAAAGGTCTGAGAAGATGATCTTCCATTTATAAATCAATAGGACATAGTTAAGCCTGACCTAAAGACTGGGTTCCAATGGTTGTTCATGAAATCTGCCTCGGATTTTGACAATAGTTAAAAAAAAAAGATGAGTTTGATGATTTTCAGGGGCATTTTTCCTTTTAAAATCCTACAGAAATCTTCATTTATCAATCAATATTTATTAAGCACCTACTATGTTTCAGGCACTGTGCTAAGTGTTAGATTCAGCTTGATTCTCACTGTGGTTATCTACAACACCATGAATATGCTTTTGTCATCCTTTTTTTTTTTACTTTTTTTTTTTACTTCCAAATGAGCAGCGTCTGGTGAATAAAATTGTTTTTCCATTAACCGTTATCTGTTTGGTTCAATGGGATTACTGTGTGAAATAAACAAACAGTGTAATAGGAATGAGGTTTCAGTTACAGCTGTGATTCCTGATGCCACCCATCTCCGGAGATTTCCAGCCATCAGAAAGACTGCATTTTCAATTAAGCACAGAAGGGAGGAGCCCAACTCAGAACTCTGAGCAGTTGCCTAAATTGTGAAAAATGCATTATTCTACTTGGCAGGTACAATGCATGTGTTATTTTGAATATGTTGAAAGTATTGTTAATTCTTACATTTTTGTGTTTGCTTTCCCATCATATAGTATTAGAGGGGGAGAGTGGTGTCTTGGTAAAGCATTGAACTGGGAGGGAGGAAGACCTGGCTTAAATCTTAACCTCACAAACTTATTACTTGTGTGACCCTGTGCAGGTTCCCTAACCTCTCTGTGCCTCAATTACCTCATCTGCAGCAGGGGAGACATTTGATTCTGTGGCTTCTAAGGTCCCTTCCAGCTCTAAATCTATAAGTCCCATGTTTTAGTCATTTATGGCACAAGTCTTTCAGTGAGGTCATGGGGCACTTAAAAAAAAAGAATGTGATACTTAGAGAATTACAATATAGTTTCAATTATAATACAAGGAGTTTCCTACATAAATTATGTTTATGCCAGAAAAGATAGGTGTGACTGGACTCTGGGTCAGAAAGAGGAATATAGACTCATTGATTTACAGTTGGAATGATCTTAGAGATGTCATCTAGTCTAAACATTCATTTTACAGATAAGGAAACTGAGGCCCACATACTTTAAATGTTTTATTGGAGGCTGTAAGTAACAGAGCTGGGATGTGAGCATCTTTCCATTGCCGGTGAGGGACATCTGGGTACTTGTCCTATTTCCAACACATCAGGATGCTATAACAGGGTTCTGGGTTTGGAGCCCAAGATCCTGGGTTCAAATCCTAGCTCTGCAGCCTTCGGTCACTTTGCCTCTCTAGGCTCAATTTCCTCATCTATAAAATTAGGGGATTGGACTAGATTATCTATGAAGTCTCTTTTGGCACTAAGTCTATGATTCTATGACCCCCATACTATGAGTGACCATTAGCAAGTCACTTAACCTTTCATTGCCCCAAGAAACTCTCTAAGAGTTGCTGATCTTCATTGGTGAAGGTAGTTTCCACATTGGAAGTTCTTTATATTGATGAAATCATAGATCTAGGGACTCACATATAAATATCAGTGTGGGGTCATAAAATTTGTACTAGTTTTGGAGTCTTGGAAATCTGGGTTCAGACCCCAGCTCTTCCCCTTGGGAAAGTTACAGAAACTCTCTGGGTTTTTTTTTCTTTTCTCAGATAAAGTGTGTATGGGGAATTGGAACTAGATTAGAAGATACTAAAGTACCTCCGAACTCTAAAATCCTATGCACATCTATGTCTGCATATGTAAAAAAAAAGATTCTATGATCTTATTCCCACTTAGAACATTCAGCTTTGAAGCTGTGTCTATCTTGGACACATATTTTTCGAATAGTTTAGGGATGTCCTAAGGTATTGAAGAAAGAAAGATTTTCATTTTAATTCACTGGTTACCTCCATATTAATTCATACCTATTTTCCCATGTTACTAGTAATTCTTCACATTTGTCCTTTTTATGGCACAGTAGTATTCCATTACATTCATGTATCACAAGTTGTTTAGCCATTGTCTAATCAATGTTTTTAGTTCTTTGCTACTACACAAAATATTGCTGTGAATATTTTGGTAGACATGGAAACTTTCTTTCTAGGAAACTGAGGCCCAGAGTGGTTATGTGACTTGCAGTGTCATATAGTTGGTGTCAGAAGTGGGATTTGAACCCAGGTTCACTGATTCCAAATCCAATGTGCTTTTCATTGAACCATGCTACCATCTTTGATCCCTTTGGGAGTATGTGCCTAGTAGTAGGATCTCTGGTCATTTTAGTTCTTATTCTCAATAGTTTCCCAGGACACATCACTTTATGACTATCCCAATAGTACACTAGTGTGCCTATCTTTCCACAGATCTGCCCCTTCCCCAACTTTGATTAATCCCATATTTTGTGATCTTTGCCAATTTTCTGGTTGCTCGAGGAAACCTCAAAGTTATTTTGATTTGCATTTCTCTTATTTCTGATTTGAAACATTTTTTCACATGGTTGTCGTTGTTAATAACTTAACAATTCTTTTGCAGAATATTTTTAAAAATATCTTTGGATCTACTGGGGGAATGGTTCTTGCTTTTATATATTTGTGTTAATTCCCTTTGTATCTTGGAATGTATTTAATTTTTTAAAAAATGCCAGCCCTTTCAGCAGTGAGTCAAATGCAAGCAAGTGAAAAAAAAATCTCAGCTTTCCTCTTTTAGACCAGCTGATGGTATGCTATTAAGTCTTTTTCTTTCTTCAAAATAAGGATAACATATCCAAGAGCCTGTAAATTCCTACCTGATTTGAACTCATGTTTATATGAATATGTATGAAAATAGCAGGTGTGGGACATGATCTATATCTCATACATATATACATATAAATGTACATATACATATGTCAGTATCACATTTAGATATTTGGAAATCTTCCCATTTGCAGATAGGCAAGCCTGAAGGGCCCTGTGCAAGGCTGAGTCATTCTAAATCAACCCAAGCAACAACACTACTTTGAAAAAGTTTGTTTCACTGTCCTACACAGCTCAAGTCAGGGGTAATCTGATATTGGTGTGACTACAAACAAAACAGCAAACTTGCTACATGGCATTTGGGACACAGACAGACCTTGGGAATTTTACCTTTCCCTGACTCTGGAAGACATACATAGTTAGAGGGATTCATTCTCATTAGGCCTGAAGCTTGCTTTTCTAGATGCTCATGGTTTTGAGTGGGCTTATCTGGCTGTCCTAAGACAAGCAAGACTACCTGTAAATTCACAGATTCACACATATTATAGGAACACAGGACTGTTAGAGCAGGAGGGGACTTTGGGAGCTTCTAAAAAGTCAAATAGGAGTTGATTGCATGTATATGAAAAATGAAAGAAAAGGATGCATGTTCAAATATGTATGTTTATACATATGTATGGATATGGATTATACTCATGATTTTGTTTTTACAGAGAACCACTACTTAAATATTATGCTGAGGTTTTATGTTATCTGAAGGCTTTAAATCACTTAGATCAGAGGGGTCAGACACTGGCTCTGCCATGGCATGCTGCCAACAGCATTGCTGAATACAGTCTTTATCAAATCAAAATATAATTATCGATATTTAACAAAATAAATAACAATGAAATGGAGTATTAGGTAACATTGCTATGTAGTTTTCTAAGTGAATACGCAGCCTTTGGGGATCTTTATGTATGGTTTAGTGGCCCCATTCCTATTTGATTTTGACCCTACCAACTCAGATGATTTCAAATGCAGTAATCTTTTCAAAACTGCCTTTCATCCTTTTTAAATTTTGTGCTTTCCTCTGCTGCTTCTCATCCAGGTAGAAGTTCTAATACTGTCAGTAAGTGGGTGGGTCTGTAGTCTCTCAGCTCCTGGAATCTCTAGGTGTAGAACAGGAAATCAGAAGGAATGGTCCAATATGGTCCATGGAGTGTATGGTTATTTTTGCTTCCCAATTACTGTTGTAGTCTACTTGCCCCACCCTTTGCCCAGGTGACTTCAAGCATGGATTTATACGCATGTATGTATGGCATGGTTTT